TCCATTGTATAGTCGGCTTCACAAACGTATTAGTATTTTCTCACAAAAAAAATATTATTCATGTGATGAAATACATGACTTTAGAATATTAGTTCATGCGTTTAATTTTTATAACAACTCATGAATGACATATATTAAGAATGGAAATCACAATTATTGAAGAAAGACAGAGCACCGCTTGATAATTGCTAAGTTCAAGGATTTCCACATATACATGTGTCAAGTAAGAAACTGTTCTTTCTGCAGACAACAATACTTAATTACACGAAGTGACTAAATGGTAAGTTGACAAACTGTAGCTCCTCTAGTACAAATACACAATCCACTAGGTTTCTTTAGTCCTGCTAAAGGTAGCAATCTAGCGGAGCGGCTCATGCTAAAGGTAGCAATCCAGCGGAGCGGCTCGTGAGCCGCTCGGTCCGAGTCCCAGCAGGCTGGATGGCTCGCTAGCCGAGCAGAACCGACTGGTTGTTTTGACGAGCGGCTCGTGGGCGAGCCACGAGCTAGCCCACAAGCCGAGCCCACGAGCCAAGCTCGTAAAAAATATGAGAGAAAAAACTAAAAAAAAAACAAAAAAAAAACCATGAGCTTGTCGAGCTAGTTTGCCGAGCCGAGCTCGAGCTCGGCTTGTGCTCAAACGAGCTTGAGCTCGGCTCGTCACTTTGACGAGCCGAGCTCTAGATGCTTGTTCGGCTCATTGCCACCACTAAGTCCTGCAACTCTTGCATACTTTTTGATAGGGCTGTTGATGGATTTGATTTTGATCCGAATCGGATTCGAATCTGACGAAATTAATGGAAGATGGATTTAGGTTAACCGGCGGGTTTAACGGTTTATTTGACAATTTTCAATTTTTCATTTAGCCCCCGTTTGTTTCTCATTTTTCGTCCATAAAAATTAGGGTTGCACAAAAAAAAACTGTGAAAACCGAAGTCGGTTTGAAACCGTTGGTTTGGGTCCACGTGAACCCGCGGTTTTTTTCTCAAATCGAACCAAACCGTTT